TCCCGCATATGAAGGGACACATATGATCAAGAAAATATTTTATGGCAGTGCTACAACACTTACTACCATAGACAGTGAAATTTCTCTGCATCCTGTGAACACAGACATAGTCAAAAAATACTATGCATAAAAGAGACCTGCTATATTGACTGGCCTGGGAAAAAATAAAGGAATCCCAGCGAACTAAAGGGGTTCAGGAAAAATTAGGGACATATATATAAAAAAATTATACACGCGGCAAGTCGAAAACCTGAAAAGGCAGCTTGGAAAAAAAGGGTATCCCGGGGGACTGAAAATCTGAAAAGATGGTACAGGAAAAAGTTAGAGATTAAAGCGTACGATTATGTCCTGTTTATCAGTAGAAGATTTATCACTCTGATCAGCATTTACTAAAGACTCTAGGAGTTAGGGTAATGTCCAAAAGTTATCCACAAATCCCCATAGAGCAATCTCTATGGAACTATCTCTACAGAGTTATCTTCACAAGCTCATCCCCAACAGAGATATATTCCCCAACAAATCTAATATGCCCTCAGACATAAGTTGGGGTATCTTCCGACAGTTCATCTTTCCCAATAGGTCCTCTAGCAGATAAAGAATTTTGATCATTTCCCCAGCATACAATAGAAACTTCTTCAACACAGCCTATGAATTTCCAATTCTAATCAGAGATTATTTCCTTAATGCAGTCTACATGGTTTATTTGCCCAACAGAGTTTATTTTTCTGATATTGCAATTCCCTGACAAGATTCTCTTCTCCAACCATATATCATTCAATGTTGTCCTCCCCATAAGAGCTAATAATCATATTTGAAACCTGATCAAATAGTGTATTGGAGGATTATTCATCTCTTTCATCCCTAGTCAAAATACATAAGAATCAAATCCTTCAGAAAAATGAAGAATAACCGGATAATTCAATGTGTTGAATTATTGTGATATGCTTGGATGATTAAGATTGTGAGATTGTCTTAATTGCATTTGTTTATTGGAAATTTCACATACATTCATGGGAAGATTGAACTCCGGTTGTTTCTTTGATCCTTGTGTATGCAAGTGTTGGAATTTGATTATGTTTGAATATAGTATAATATGTATTTATTTGCTACACGTTATAATGATGTGTTGAGATTATTTATACTATGAGATTGTGTATATATGATTGATTGGCATGAAATATATATGTTGTGCAATATTGTGAAGATAATTTAAAATGTGTTAAATTATGTGATGAGTTGTTGTGAGTTATTGAGATTGCACATGTACATGTATTATTTGTGTCAAGAGGCAATGTTTGGTAATTCTGTGGAAACTATTGACTTGTCTCAAACCTAACGTTGAATGGGGTTTGAAAGCTTAAGGCTGAATAGGGCTTTTATTGGTGGTTATTTATCTTAGAGATGTGGACCCTGAAGGACCGCTAAGGATCACATTGGGACCACATGCATAATGCATTTGAGTTGCATTGGAGTCACATGTGTCGATGTAAATTGTTGCATTATTACTCATTATGTAATATTAGTGTGAATGTGATGTTTTGATGTGCAACATGTGATAATTGATTTAATTGTACAATTGTGGTAATTAGAATTGAATTTCATTTGGAATATGAATTGATGAGCTATGTTGTATATGTGGATTGGTATATTGGATTATGTTATGCTTAAAATATGGTTTTATGAAGAGTGATGAATTTCTATTGGTGTATATATGTTTTACATTGCTTATGATTATATATTTTCATAATGATATAATTCTTACCCTTCTATTGGAATGATGTTATATACGACATCACTCAGGTACCGGAGATAGCGATGCTTTTTTTCAGGATTAGAATAGGAGCTAGATCCTTATTTATCTGCTTATTTCTAGGTAGTGAGTCATTACTTTGGTCTATGTAACACGGGGGATATTCGAACTCGTGTTTGATTTGTTTTAAGAGATATTTGTTATTACTCTCTTTTATCTGGATATGTATGAGATTATGTGATGTTTCACCATAGTTCTAGTACTATGATATGATTGTCAGTATGAAATTTCAATTATTTATATCTTTATGTTGAGATAATTATTCTGCTGCGAGATGCATATTTTATATTGGTGTATGAAACGTGAATTTGAATACGTGTTATAATCATGACCAGTATGCATGTTTGAATTTTCTTTATCGTTTTGTGAAGTCAATTGTGACGCCCTCTTTGAGATATATGCTAATTTACTCTGATTATGCTCTTTATGTCTATGTGACGTTATAGGGTGTTACAACATACACGTGCTAAGAGCAGGTCCTCGACGGGCACACGTATGAGACGTTCCCGCCATACACGTGCTGAGAAGCGGGTCCTCGACGAACACACGCATGAGACGTTCCTTAACAGTTATAGCAACGTGGACCACAATAATGGGCTTTCTTTGCGACATAGTTGGGTTGGACCTTGGCTGGCGGTAGACTAATGACGGGTCCAGTCCAAAACACATTTTATTTTAGATTTTGTTAGATATGTAAGGTGTTTAAAGAAGTGGAAGCTGATTTTTTTCATTTTTTCTTCTGTTTGAATTATCTTGAAGTCTAATCTAGTTCTTGAAATATTTGGCAATACCAAAATAGTGAGAGACAATAATTCAAAGTGAGTGCTAACTTCTGCATGTAAATTGTCATAAAATACTTTGCTGAAGTGATGTTTGTGGCATTGTTACTTCATATAAGTATTGAGATAGACCAGTTGAGTTAGTCATTGATTAAGACATGTAACTCTTAGGGTTGTGTGTTCTATTTTCCAACAATGTATTACTTTAATCAATGAACAATAGAAAAATATTGTTTTCTTGTTTAAATTTGATTTAAGATTTAGATTTTACGTTCCTCCTAATTCATATAAATATAGATTTTCATGGATATTAGAAAATTATTTATTGTATTATACTAGAAAAATTATTGTTTTTAAAATTATTTAAAGAGGGTTTAAAACCCTCACAACGTGTCTCTTTTTCTTTAATGTTAACTGTAAATGACATACGTGATATGTGGCGTACAACATAAACCTCTGTTAATGAAATCTAATGAGAAGAACCATAAATAAGAACGAAAAATATTACGAGGACCATTATTTAAAGAAAAATTTTATAAAAACTAAAATTGAAAGTTATCATATTTATAAGGATTAAAAATATATTTAACCCAAAAAGAAACATCAATACTAAAATTTGTATTAATTGTTTCTTCAAATATTAAAATATTTAGTTCAACTTAAAATAAATATTTATTTTAATATTTGAAATAATTCTACTTAATATTGATGTTTCTATTTATTAATGCAATTTAATATTATTTGGCTTAATTTTAAGATTAAATTTAAGTCAAAATATAAGCTCTCAATGAAACAAGTTGTTTTATTATAAATGTAGACCAAATTTAATTATAGTCAATGTCCTATTTTTTTTTTAAAAATCATATTTAAATAAATGTGAGACTAACATTTGATATCACTTACCATAATATTTAGACAATTTAATTTTCTCCTGTTAAATGTATAAAGGATAAGTCTTAATTATTTTTTATGTAGACACTTTTAGCAAAGGTGTAAGTTCACATTATAGACCTTTTGTTTTAGACTTAAAAACTCAACTATTTTTTTTATTAAAAAAAACTTCTTAAATGAATAAACATGGATATACTTTGTACTTTTTTCTCATTAATTCGTTACTTGAGGTTTATTAGTTGACTAAATATGTAATCACCTTCAATTTTAATTAAATTACTTTAAATTAAAATGTTAGGGTGCGTTTGATTGAAGGATTCGAAAGAGATTCTGAGAAATAAGTTATCTGGAAATAAAAATAAGAAAGTTTGATTCTTGAGTATTTTAAAGAAAATGTGTTTGACACATATTATTTGATATTCTTAAAAAAATTAGTAGTTATATTTTTTTATAAAAAAATCATGCGAAACTTCTTCGGAATGAATATTTCTACCTTCTTACCTGGAATAAAATCATTGTAATTATAGAAAAAATTAAAATTTATTTTATTCCTTAGAACCTTCATTTTTAAGAATAATTTTTTTTCAAACTCTTAACAAACATGGATATAACCATTTTCTAAAGATTATTTCTGGAAAGTTAGTTCGAAACAAACACTCCGTTAGTAAAATTTTATGTGCTATGAAAAAATTAAACAGTAATTATGAGAGTAAAGTAAACTTCTTTTTGAAGTAGAGAAATAAACATTAATTGCCAAGAAAGTGTAATAAAACTTAAAAATATAATTTACTCTAATACATATTTATTTAAATAGTATTTCTATAAAAAAAAAATAGTATGAACTTTGTCTGCTTCAGAAAAAAAACTTAAAAAGAGAGGAGGAAAGGTTCAAACGTTGTACAATGTAATTCTGTTGCCAAATTAAACATGAAATAAATTGGATAGCTAAAACAACCATGGTTGAATGTAGTGTTAATTTTTAAACAATGACCGGAGCCAGGTAAGAAGGAAGTAAAACTACCAACTAACAAAGGAATTTTTTTTCTTCTTGAAAATACAAAGCAATGTTACATGTAAGTTGACTTATTTTTTTGAGAGGAAGCAACTTTATATGTACATTGGCTATTGTGATGAATGGGGAATGGTTATGAAAAATAAGTTGTCCTTTCATTCGGCTGATTAAGACTTGGCTTCTCCTTTAATAACCTACCTGAATGAAAATGAAAACAAAATAAAGAATTTAAAACATACTATATCACAGCCAAAGAAGAAGAAAAAAAGGCCATGTTCTTAAAACTAGAAGTTTCAGATAATATACTCAATCTATTTCTTATTATAATTTTTTCAACAATGTCAATATAAGATGTCTGAAAATTTTGTGTATATTATTATGTAAACCTAGACGATTGTTTGGGTTCCAAGTCTAAAACACAATAAAACCCATGCTTCGACATTCATTCCTAACTCCCAAGAAGAATACACCTCAAATGAACTCCATAAGCAAGACAGAACCTTAGAGCTCAACAAAGATCATCAGAACCTGAAAGTTGCAACCTCTTCCTCAACATCTTAAGCACTTTCTTCACCCGGTTATTTGCATCCGGAGTACCACCAATCACACATTCCGAGTGATAAGGACTGCTGATACGCACCTCATTCATCACAACTATGACAGTCTTGTCCCAGCGGACTGGAAACGTTTTAGATAAAGCATCAAAGATGTTCTGTGCTACACTTGTAACCCCAACCCCAATCCTCTCAGCATCTGCTTCTGCTTGTCTAATGGCAACTTCTTCCCTTGCTTGGAGAACATTGAGATCAAGGTAGCACTTATATGGATATTGACCTAATAAGGTGAAGTCTTGGATGTAATCAGCTTTCAAAATCCTAATGTTTCCAAGAGGGCCATCTTTGGATCTTTCTATGAGTGCGAGCATGTTGGAGGGACGATCAAACGTAACAACTTGGCCTTCAAATTCTTCACCAAATACTGTCCTGATCGACAGCAAACACCCCTCCGCAAACTCTTCATTGTTGTTCATGGTGGTGCTTCTTTCACCTTCCATGGTCATCGGAAATTCTTGTACATTGTTGTTGTTGGTGGTGCTACTCCCACCCTCCCTCATCACCGCAAACTCTTCTGGGTTATTGTTGTTGCCGCCACCCTCCCTAATTTTTTTATTCGCTGACTGCTTCAAAGTTATGAATGCAGACATCTTAATTAAGGTGTAAGCAGCTATATGAACTTCGTTTTTCTTTTGTAAAATTGCTGAATAACATAATAAACTCCTACAATTTTTTTTTATGATATCCACATTATACTTTGATTTCAACTTGAGATCATTGTGGTTAAACTGAGCTCGAGTCAACTATCTTACGAATGGCATATAAGAGCTATTAAGATGTGGTTGGGCCTAATTCAACCCTACAAAACCGGCTTATAGGGTGAGGATTACCCCCACTTATAAACATATGTTCAGGCCATATATTGTCCGATGTGGGACTCTTAACATACCCCCTCACGCCCAGGACTAGACAACTGGAGCGTGGAAATAAATGGTGGGTGGCCCACCGGATCTTAAACGAGGCGCTGATACCATATTAAGATGTGGTTGGGCCTAATTCAACCCTACAAAACCGGCTTATAGGGTGAGGATTACCCCCACTTATAAACATATGTTCAGGCCATATATTGTCCGATGTGGGACTCTTAACAAGAGCTTCAGGCTTTCTATTATACACAATGAGTTCATGAGAGTACCAATAAGGTTTTTCCTATATTTAGGGAATGAGGTAGAACTAACTGATTTTTATCTGTTACATAGTCGTCTATCATTGCATTTTGGTCTTATCCTGTTCTTAGATAGTTTGAAGACACGCGGGCACCAATAAAATGAAAGATGTAGAAGATATACATACCTGATCCAAGTCATTAAAGTAAGCATGCTTTAGAGCATCTTCGGCTGAAATCCTCTTGTTTGGGTCCAGGCAAAGCATCCTCTGCAGGACCAAGTAGAAGATCAATTAGTAATATAAAATCAGGGTTTACATCATGTCTAATTCACCCTTCCATGAAAATATACAAGCGATTTCAACTTAGGGTTGTAAATGCATTCATATTCAATCATTGCAGCACCCTCGTGGCAAATGCGGTGCAGTAAAACCTAAGGATCTTCAAACCAAAATTAGGGAGAAAACGAGACTCACTCACCGTTAGAAGATTAAGACCAGTTGAATCGAGATCATGAAAAATTGTTGAAAGGTCCTACACATTTGAATAAAGGCACACATAACAAAGATTCTATAACAGGACATTTAGTGAAAATGAACTCATATATTTGAGAGTGAGAATTTTGGTACCATTGGGTCAGATTTGGGATAGTCTTGAAGGTTAGCACATAACTTAGTGACCCCTGGCCATGTTTCCTCTGTTGGTGTACCAAACATTCTTCATATATATAGAGAAAAAGTTTATGTTGGTTTGATGAAATCCAAAAAGTGAAATAAACTATTTTGTGTCTTAACTAAAATTACCTGAAAATCAGCTTTAGCTCACCCATGCAATAAAAAAGATTGTGTATTGGTTGTCCAAGTACCATCTCACCAAATATACAGCCCACAGACCAAATGTCCATTGGAGTTGAATATTGACCGTTATGAAACAAAACTTCAGGTGCCCTATACCACCGAGTTGCTATCTGTCGCAATTGTAACACAAGAACTTGAATCGCAGCAGCCAGATAACATATAAATATAGAAAGATTTCAAAATGATAAATATTCAACATTACCATCTCAGTATAGAACATGTCAGGATCTCCTAACTCTCTAGCCCAACCAAAATCCGCCAGTTTGATTATCATTTTTTTATGATCGATTAGAAGATTACATGGTTTTAAGTCTCGGTGAATAATCTTATGAGAATGACAGTACTCCACTGCAGATAATATCTGATATAGCAAACTCTGCAACAACCACAGCAAATTTTCTAATTAAATACTCAACAAAGTATATATATAATTGGATAAAACCCTTAATTTACTTACCTTTCTTGTGAAGGGATTATTAATTGATGAACCGTAGCGTTCATTCTGTTTAATGTATGTGTTAAGATCGCAATCAAGACACTCGAAAACAAGGCTCACCAGTCTTGTATCCTTATTGCTCGTTACATTCAATAACCTACACATTGATTTAAACAAAACTGAGCTAAAAAGTATACACATTATGAAAAAAACCCTAAATATAATTGTTTGAATTAATTACCTAACAATGTTTGGATGATTCAATTCTTTTAGAAACGAGACTTCTCTGACGATGCAACCGGGAACAGCATTGGAAATGCTCTCTATCGAAATTTGTTTGATGGCCACAATGCTGTTATCTTTGATGATACGGTATTGAGAAACCGTACCGGAACTTCCTTTACCGAGAACTCCAAGAAACTCCATATTAGTATCATCTAACGGTTCGATTTCATGTATGGAGTTGCTGTGAGTGAAAGATTTCTCGTGGCTTCGATGCCTTCGATTACGACTACAGATTTTGCATCCTAAGATGCGTCCCAACCTGGTGATTCAATAAAATTAAGCAGAATCATTGAATGATGATGAACACAGCGTGATGATTGGAGAAGAACTTACACAGAATTGAAGGAATTACGGTCTTCTGCTTCTGTCAGCATTCTGAAATGAGAGCAGAGAAGAAGAAATTGGATGTTGACGAGAGCAGAGAAGAAGAAATTGGATGTTGACGAGAGCGATAAAAAGAAAGAACGGAAAGAGTGGAGACTCTTGGATTTTTTGTTTGGCGCCAAAATGAGAGTAACAAATTCAGTTATGACACGTGCTATTGCACCAACAATGCTGATGGTAAATGTTGACGTTTTAACGATTACTCCCCTCTCATCTCTATTACGTACTATAAAATAAATTTTGCTTAGTAGGTACATTTATTAAACAACTTTTACTTAATTGAATTGAGATTAGAAGATTTCGAAGAAAAAAAATTATAAAGAAATTGATGAGGTTTAATTATTATTTTTGTTAGTTTTATTTTAGTTTGCATTTGAGTTTAATTTATATTTGATTTGTATTTCAATTGTATTTAAGGTTGGTTGTATAAATACTGAAACTCGGTTTTCAGTTAGTAATAATCAATTCATATTGTTGTAGAGTTTGTTGATAAAGAAAGTTAGTTACAAGTTTGTTACAGTTTCTCTTTCTCTTTCTACAATTCTTTCCCATCTTCATCTTCTCAATTCTTGTGTTTTAATGGAGGTTTAACTCCAACAATTAATATTAGAGTCTGTGATTGATTTCTCACAGGAAACACGAGTCTACGTGAGGTGTGTGATTAATTTCGTTTCTTGAATTCACGTTGAATTTACGATTGAAATCGAACAGAATCACATTTCTTGATTCTCGAGATTGGGAAACAAGAGTGTTTGTGAGAATTGAGTGATTTGCACAAGATCGAAGATTTACAGTGGAAATAGTAATTTGAACACAAAACTTCCAGTATTTGACGGAAAGAATTGCAATCGGTGGTCGATTCAGATGCGTGTGTTATTTGGCGCTCAAGATCTTCTTGATCTCGTCAATGACGGTTACACGCCGGTTGCAGCAGATGCAACAGGAGCACAAAGAAATGTGAAACATGAAACGAGGAAGAAGGATTATAAGGAATTGTTCTATATCCATCAGTGTATGGATACGAGTGTGTTTGAGAAGATTGTTGATGCTACGACGGCGAAGACGGCATGGGATACACGGTTGTGATGTTATGTTGGCGACGCCTCAATGAAGAAGGTGAAGTTGCAATTCCTACGCAAGCAATACGAGAATCTCAACATAAAGGACACTGAGAAGGTACCAGATTACATCTTCATAGTGATTGTGGTCACCAATGAGATGAAGGCTTGTGGAGAAACGCTCTCTGAACAAGTTATTGTTGAGAAGGTACTAAGATTTCTTACTCTTCAATTTGATTACATAGTCGTGGCTATTAAACATTCTAAAGACACCAACACCATGGACTTCAGAGTAGTGTAGAGGTATAAGAGTTGCGTCCGACTGAGAGGAACTCTGAAAGAGAGTCTGAGCAGGCTCTGGAAGCTTCTCTTATCAAGAAGAACAAGAAGTAAGTATGGTTTAAGAACGAGAAAAAGATCGGTGGTGTTCAGAGGTCATAAGTCTCCAATCCTGATGAGAAGAAACATAAGAATGTTCAAAAGCGAAATGAGAAGTTTGACAAGAGAAAGGTTCAGTGATACAATTGTAACAAGTTTGGCCACTTTGCTGCAGATTGTTGGTTAAACAAAGAAAGAAAAGTTAAAGAAGACAATATAGCCAAAGGAGACTCTGATGATGAACCTGTGTTATTTGGTGGCATCTGAGAGTGAATGTGAAAAAATGGTAGACTGGTGGTATATGGACACTGACTGCTTGAATCACCTAATTGGAAATAAGAAATGGCTGGTTGATTTTGACTCTAGTAAAAAGACTAAGCTCGGATGTGCTGATGATAAGTATCTGAATATTGAAGGAAGGGGAAATATCATAGTGACTCTGAAGAATGGTAAAATTATATTGATTCGGGATGTGTGGTATACTCCTGGCATGAAAACAATTTGATGAATGTAGGTTAGCTGATTGAAAAAGATTTTTCAGTAACCTTGAAGGACAATCTCTTGAAGCGGTATGACTCTAATGAGAAGTTAATTATGAAATTTGAACATGGAAGAAATAGGACATTCAAGTTGAATGTTGAATCTGCAAACTCTCAATACTTTAGTGCAACAAGTGTTGAAAAGGAAAGTGAGTTGTGGAATCTGAGTTCAAAGAATTTGCTTCATGAAATTCCTAAGATTATAGCACCAACGAAATCATGTGATGTATGCATGAGAGGAAAACAACCAAGACTGTCATTCTCATCAGAAATTTCTCCAGGAGCAAAACATGTTTTGGGTGTGGTACATTATGATGTATGTGGGCCATTTCCAGTACCTTCACTTGGAGGGAACAAATACTTTGTGTCATTTGTGGATGAGTTCACAAGAATGACATGGGTAGATCTCATAAAGTTAAAACATGAGGTGTTTGCTGAATTTAAGAAGTTCAGAGTCAAGGCCGAGAATCATAGTGGATAGAGTTTGAAGGTTCTTAGAATTGATGGTGTAGGTGAGTACAAATCTACAGAGTTCAAGAAGTATTGTGAGGAGATAAGATTGAGCATGAGGTTATTAATCCATACACTCTTCGATACAATGGTCCTGCTGAAAGAAGAAATAAAACTTTGCTTGATATGACAAGGAGCATGCTGAAAGAGAAGAATCTTCCACACACATTAAAGGGTGAAGTTGTTGCTAATTCAACATATGTGCTCAAAAGATTTCAAACAAAGAAGTTAAAGGGAGTATTCCATATTGAGAAGTGGACTGGAAGCAAGCAAAGTATGAGCCATCTGAAGGTGTTTGGTTCTCTTTGTTACAAACATGTTCCAGATGCTAAGAAAATATAGTTGAATGATAGAAACATAGTCATGTTACTTATAGGTTACAACAATATATGTTCTTATAATCTCTAATGTCCAACCACCAACAAGGTTGAAGTCAGCATAGACGTTATTGTGAAAGAATCTGAAGCATGGGATTGGAACAAGTCTCAATCTAACTTTGGTGCAGTGTTAACACATGAGTTAACTTCTAAAGGTATTTCTGACTCTGAAATAGAATCTTCCTCTGAAGGGGATTATGCCTCTAAAGATGAGTAAGAGTCTGGTGGTGACTCTAAAGGTGAAGTTGAGTATGAAGACGTGTTTAACTCTGAAGGAGATTCTGAAGGTGAGTCTGACTCTGAAGGTGAATCTGATGGTGATCCAGACTTTGGTGATGATTCAGACTCTGGTGTTAATACAAAACAGGTAGTAGTCCAACCTCTGACGGTGGTTATGCATATGAAGTTGGATCTTTTGAAGATGGTCTAGCCTCTAAAACTATACCACAAATAATTTGTTAGATACCAAGGATAATTGCATACTTTGAGCTACTGCAAGATACTGAGATTTATTCTGAAGGAGAAGTTATTCAGTGTTCCGTGATGGTGGACTTTGAAACTTTCAGTATCAATGAGGCTCTCAAGAAAAAAGTGTGGCTAAATGCCATAAAATAAGAACTTGAGGCAATATAAAGAAACCAAACATAGAAGTTGATTGTGTTGCCCAAGAACAAGAAAGCCATCAATGTCAGATGGATTTTCAAGATAAAGCTAAATCCATATGGTCAATTGCAAAGCACATAACAAGGTTAGTTTCTAGAGGATTTATACAAAAATATGGTTTTGACTACTTTGAAGTGTTTTCTCTTGTAGCTAGACATGAAACGATATGACTGGTGATTATTATAACTGATAGTAAGAATTAGCCTGAGGCAGTATAAAGAAACCAAACATAGAAGTTGATTATGTTTCCCAAGAACAAGAAAGCCATCAGTGTCAGATGGACTTTCAAGATAAAGCTAAATCCATATGGGTCAATTGCGAAGCACATAGCGAGGTTAGTTTCTAGAGGATTTATACAGAAATCTGGTTTAGACTACTTTGAAGTGTTTGCTCCTGTAGCTAGACATAAAACGATATGACTGGTGATTATTATAACTGATAGTAAGAATTAGCCTCTGATGCATTTAGATGTGAAATTTGCTTTTCTTAATGGTCCTTTAGAAGAAGAGGTTTATGTGTCACAACCTCTTGTATTTGTGAAAAAGAATCAGGAAGGGATGGTGTACAAGTTGCATAAAGCCTTGTATGGACTAAAATAAGCTTCAGGAGCTTGGAATCTGAAAATTGATTCATTTTTCAAGTTTCTAGGATTCAAAAAATGTGAGATTGAGTATGGTGTGTATGTTCAACATACCTTTGATGGCAATATGATTTTGGTATGTCCTTATGTTGATGACATATTGCTCCAGTGAGTTGTACTTCTGAAATGAACAAGTTCAAAAAGGTAATGATGAATGCATTTGAGATGATTGGCCTTGGAAATATGATATATTTTTTAGGGTTGGAGATTTTGCACTCTGAAAAGGGATTCATTATGCATCAAGTGAAGTATGAACTTGAAATTCTAAAGAGATTTGAGCTTGTAAATCTGCAGTTACACCTTCAGAAACAAACCATAAGATGGATTCTGATTCTGGTGGTGATGATGTAGATTCTTTAATTTTTAAACACTTGGTTGGCTCGCTGAGATATCTATGCAATATCATACCTGACATTTGTTATGCAGTTGGAATGGTTAGTAGGTTTATGAGTGAAATTTTGGCACTCGCAATACAAAGGTCGAGATTAAAGTCTTAACAAAGAAACGCGGTGTCAGGATGGATGTTATGACATATGTTGACAGAAAATATGTTATTGATTGTGCAGAAAGATAAATTACAGAAATTTAAATAACACAATCAATTGTTAATCCATTTTGATGCAACGTCACATACTCTGAGGACTACCACGCCAGAAAAGATATCCACTATATATATAGTGACCAAGCTTATAATAAATCCTATAACACAAATTATCATACACACAATTAGGTATTCTTACCTCTATATTAAATATAGTGTCTCTATAATTTATATTGAATTGGATAAGGATAAGAATAATAGTGTAACGCCCCATACTGCTTTCA